TTTTGTGCAACTAAAGATGAGGGTGATTTGCAAATTCGAGATTCTAGAAAATTCAATTTAGTTTTTCTTGCTAAATTGGATTGTAAAATATGGAGAAATGAAAATTGCCTTTGGATTGATATTCTAACGAACAAGTATCTCCACAATCAAGGTTTCATGTTGGCAAGGGCTAAGGTAATAGACTCGCATGCATGGAAAAACATATTGAAAAGTAAATTGGTTTTATCTAATGGCTTAGGGGATGATTATCAATAACGGCCATCAAGCTAAATTCTAGGCAAATGTTTGGCTCAATTGTGGTTCTCTAATCAATCATGCTATAGTAAAGTTGAGTGAGGTTGAAACCGATTTGCCAGTTGCAAGCTATTGCAATGAGCTTGGGAGATGGAATATTGAACAAATTGAGTCGGTATTGCCTTAACATATAATCTTGAATATTACCTCAGTTCTAATTGATCTTTCTAGTGAGGAGAATGATATAAGATTTTAGATGCCTTCCAATCATGGCAACTTTATAGTACAAATGGCCTATCGACTTCCGATGTCGAGTTGTTCATCAAAAGACAGATTTTAGCAAAAAGTATGGTGAATTATGAGCTCATGCAAGGTGTGAGTTTTCATATAGAGGCTTTTGATTGATTCATTACCAATATCAGCCTAGTTATCGAGAAAGATTATAGGCATTTCAACTGCTTGAAGTTGTGATGATTCTCCCCGAGACCATTATTCATATGATCAGAGATTTTGAGACTTTTAAGAATGTGTGGCAACAGCTTAATCCTCAATTATTAAATGGTAACTTCTTTGACCTTGACTTGAAACAATGGTTATTAGATAATATGTGCAGCAATGAAATGTTGGACTTAATATCATGGGGCATAATCTTCGATCACACAGTTTAGTTATTATCGTATTGGTGAAACTTATCAATCTTTGATAACTCTTTTATGTGGCCACAAAATGCTTGGCACCAAATATGGACTAAGGTAAACAAGGCTTAGGATAATTCGAGATGAGAACAAGCCAGATGGAAGCAAGACGTGTTGATAACTTGGAAAAAGCCTAAAGAGTCCTTTGTTAAACTTAATGTTGATCGTATTGCAAAAGGACAACTAGGTTCAACAATAGCAAAAAAGGTGATTTTAGATGCAAATGGAAATTGGATTCTAGGGTTTACCTATAAAATTGGCATATCTTTTGCACTTACTATAGAACTTTGGGCATTATATTAGGGTTTGAATTTGTGTTGGAGCAAGGGATTCGAGAAAATTCAAGTAGAATCTAACTCAATGCTTGTTATCCAAAAACCATTTAATCAAAATATAGTCTTGGTTCCGAATGCTCATCTTTTCAGACATATAAGGGAGTTACTTCATCAAGATTGGGACTACTCATTATCTCACGTTCATCATAAAGCCATTCAATGTGTCAGTTGGATGGTCGCGCATCATGAGAGCTTACAACTTGGTTTACATGTCTTTAATTCTCTACCAACTTATGTTAGTTTTATTTTATTGTTAAACATTTTAGGTATTTCCATGACCTAGAATAATGTAATCAGTTGTTTTAGTATTTCATCCATTATATATATTAACTCGTTGATAATGAAATGATCATTTTATCAATATTTTCATTAAGTATGATGCTTTGTGAACGTCTAAGTGGATGTGTACATTACTTATTTATCTCAAAAATTTTTATTTAATTTTAATTTTTGAAAATTCTTGCTATTTAAAGCAATGAAAAACAACATAAGTATTTATTAAAAATAGTTATGTATTATTTACTTGTTTTAAATTATAGTAGTTCATAAAATATATCTATTTTTTAAAAAAAAAAGTGTCTTTTTTTTATTTTATATTTCCTTTTCTATTTTTTTTTATCTTTTATTCTTTCTCTCTTCCCCCTTGTCAAATCAAGGGTAACAATGGTCAATGTAGTCCCAAAAAAGAGAAAAAAACATAAAAAAAAAAAGGAAAAAAAAGGCATGGAAAAAAAGAGAAAATAGAAAGAAAAATTCCACATAACCCAAAATTTGTTTGTATTAGGTGACACACGTTTGTCATGTGTTATGAGTTTATCATTTAAGGAAAGACTTAAAAGAATGATGGTTACATTATAATGTTGAAAGTATGGAAAATGAAACAAGTATTAGTATTAGAATTAGTATTAATATTAGTATAGGGATCAAAATGATATGCAATTAAATGAAAACTTGAATATCACGAAAAAATGAAGAGAATTTAGAAGGTAATGATTTTGGCTTTGGAAGTGGAAACCATACGAAAGAATCATCATTTCCAACAAAAAGATTTGCCCTTAATTTAATGGCTGTGTGTTTGGGAATTCTCAAAAGGAATTTTTAGTGATACAACTTCCAATGCCAATGTTCCCACTTGCTTTATATTTTCAACTTTCAAGAAAATTTTTAACAACTTCAATGTTAAAGTATTAAAATTAATAAGCAACGTGAATCCATAAAAAATTATTTAAAATAAAAAGAAAAACCCAGCAAGTCAAAATAGGGCAAAGATTAGTAAATGTAAAAATTAAAAAGAAAAGAAAATAGGGAAATATAGAAAGGGCAGTATCAACATCAGCAAACCTGAAAGAATCTGACACTAGACCCTAAACCCAAAGTGTTAAAGTGGACCCCTAAAAGGAGGTAGCCTCAAATAGTTGTCCCCTTGCATTATTTTAAGAGGCTAACCCTCAGACACCCTCAAGCCAGTGGTCCATATTGAATACGTTTCTATTGTGAAATCACCGGTTTTTGGCTCTTTTCACACGTCTCTTCATTTTGTTCTACGCTAAACAAAAACAATTTTTATTTTGGGGTGAATATACATTTCCTAAGAATTTTAATTATGATTATATATGAATTTAGTAATTTTTAAAATAAATATTTTATTTTAAAAGTATTTTTATTAAATAATAAATTCAATAACTAGTCAATTATTAATATTTTTATTAATTTGATAATATAATAATATTAAAAAATAATTTTATTTTTTATTAATTTTAAAAATTACTAAATTATTATTTTTTTTTTATAAAAAACTCTAACTTACTTCTCATCATCGGACTACTTTGTGTTGGGATTTAGTCAAAAAAACTCCAAATTAGGTTAGATCGAGCTCTCTCAAGGGAGTGCGACCCATCTAGAGCTTCTTGAAGAGCGTCATCGACTAACTTGAAAAGAAGGAAACTGATGAAAAAAAGTGAAGTCCATCCGAACCGTCCAATGAAGAATAAGAGGAGAGCAAAGCGCCAATGGCGCGCGAAGCGCATGCGGAGGAGTGGGCACGGAGACAAAAAAGTGTGGAGGAGAAGCAGTCGAGCTCATTCATTCCTTTAAATATTTCATATTTAAATATTAAAATTATTTATTTTAAAAATTAATAAACCCAGTATATAATTATACTTAAAAATTAAAATAATTTATATATTTTATCTTTTATTTTATTTATACAAGAGATTTGAGTCTTGAGGATCAAGATTCGTTCCATAAATACAATACTTTTCATATCAAAACCTTCCACAAAAGGGTGTGGGCATTTCAAAGCAGATTTATAATATACAATATATATATGTAAATATATTCATATTTGTTTTTAATAAAAAAATTCTAATTCGAAACTGGTCTAATTCATAATTACTCAACCTCGACCTTCCTAAATCACCCACCCATTTGAGCATTATAGGGGCAGCGAAACTTGTGTGCAGTGTGTACCAAACAAAGGATAATTGCACAAGTCCTTTTGATGCAAAGAGAAAACATAATGTCCTAACATCATTTTGTTCCCTCTTATTCATGCCAAGACTTGGTTTTAATCAAATCTTGGGCCTTAATTCAGTGAATTCTTTCTTTTAAATTCAATTACTACTAGTTGAGTAATAAACACGAGCTGTTGACCAAACTCAAGTTCCCACGTTCTAAGGGATAAGGGGCTGTAAGTTTCCCAGTCTAAGCAGACCCCAATGCCCATGTCTCTAAAGGGAAACAATTGCACATTCAACATTCAATTCTCCTCCCATGACTTTAATGCTTTAACCTGACATTCATGTTTAAGATGAATTGGCTCTAAAAGCTTGGCTCGAGAGACCTGGCATCTATCAAACAGGCCACGCATGGGCAATGGATGCCCTATTTGCTTTCTAAACAAGCAATCCTAAAATTTGCCAGGCAATGCCAAATGTTTCGTCTGCATTCCAAGGTGGATGTCGCTTCATCAAAATAGATTCACCACCGCAAATGAAAAATCAATGGCCGTTGGTGAGCTGTTGATTGTACTGATGATCTCAAAAAATGGCATGGGATGGGACCCTCATTTCATGATCTCCTGCCAAAACCAAAGCCTAACCTTACAAAGTCCCCATCCGGAGCAAACCTGTGCACACCTTTTTTGCCAGCTATCTTGACCTTGACCTTGAAAGCTTCATCAAGTTGAAACATTCAAAAGAGTCAGGACCACAAGCCTAGCCATAAAGTTTAGTCTCATATAGGACGGTCGTTCACTTGAAAGTTGAAATCATAAAATCTTGATTGACAAGAAAAGAGAACGTGCGACTGATAATTTGGAATCTTACAACCCCCATTCCAACTGCAAACAGTTGAAAACTGTTCACCTTTTTATATTATTCTTTCGCTTTGTTTCCCAAGGCCAATCCACAGAGCTAGGAATAAAGATAAAGAGTCCCTATGATCTCCAGGGATGATGACCAAAGCTTTACAAAAAGAAAAAAAGGTCATGTGAACATTACCTCAGGCAATATATACTTGTCTGCTAGTCTTGGGAAAAAGCCAAGAATGCAATAGTTTTCTCTGTGGAGCTCCAGATTTTTGGCTGTTTCTTTAATTATAGTAAACTACCAATCAAGGGTCTTGCTGAACAAACCATCAAAGTGGACCTCCTATCATTGACTCTGCATCATTGAATATTCAGAAGAATAAAGATCAACACAGATTAAAAAAAGCTTGTCAATCAAATAACCAGATCTAGGCATCTAGGTGAATGCATTACTATAAAATTAATAACTTGTGCATTGTGTCAAGTTACATGTAATATTCCATACAGCCAATTCATGCCTTACATGTACAGACTCATGCAATAGTCAACTTCAAACTTCAACTAATGCTAAATTTCAGGAAATAAAACGCCCAAGATGATCAAATATCACAAATTTCCTGGTGGAAGGGATTATTTGTCTTTAATTGGACAGCTTGACTTGGGAATAAGCAGCTGCTTGAAATGACTGCATGCCCGTATGATAAAAGCCTTCGATTTAATATGGTCTGAAGTTAAATGTGACTTTGTGGATTATAAGACAGCTGAACTGCTGCTAGGAAAATCTGCTAACAAAACCTTTCAAGGTGTTTCTTTCACTGTCCTTTAGCTACAACATCAGCCACGAAGATGCTACCCGAATCACACCATCCACCAAGTATATCCCTGTTAGAGCACTGCCGGATCAAAATTGACCAAAAACCAGTTAAATGACTTTTATTCTATGGTAACATCAGCTAGAAACAGTTTAAATCAATGCACTCTCGGGGAAAAAAATCCAATCTTTTCTGAGATTACATCCACGTTTGACTTTTTCAAAGAAAGATATCCGGGTTGAGTTGCCAAGGATGAAAAGTGGAATACCATGAAAAGAACTAAACAAAATTATTCTGATTGTTTATTCCAACCACATTTTAGAAGAAGGATAAAAAGAAAATAATAGAAAATATTATGTTGATCTTGTTAATTGGCAATGGAAGTCATATTAAGGCCTCACAGCATTCCGTTTTCAGCAGAGAATGGGTAATAGATGGTCTTACTGCCATTCTCTCCCCCCAAGATGAGCCTCAGCAGGCAATCAAGATGGGGTGGCATGGCCAGTATTTGACCCCTACACTGGCCTACAAGGGCAAGAGTCTGTCTGCGTCTGCCAGTGTCAATACAGTGAGAAAAGATATAGACATGTCATGCAGAATTTAAAATGAACATAATACCTTACTGAATCCCAGCCAGTTTGAGTCTCCTCTAAATTTGAATACCTTACTGCTTTCTTGCCACTTACTACAAAAGACCTGCAAACATTCCTTATTACTCAGAAGCAGTGCAGAGGATGGAACTTCACTCTTACAAAGGAAACTACTCAGCATGGTACAACCTTGTTGTCTTCCTTAACAGATCACTACTGTGTAAGCTATAGAAATGTAAGCAGCCATCTTTTACATTAAGCTACTTAAATAGACACTTGGCACTGAAGTTCAGAGAGATATGCCTCACTCCTCTAATGCTAGCATCCAACTCCACACATGGATATAAAATTGTCCAGTAAGTTTAAAAGCAATCACCTCATAGTCAACCCCTTGTACATAGATGTAATCTGAGTCAAGAGATGAGAACGCAAGTCCAGTAATCTGCAGTACCAACAGAAAAAAAATATTATATGTGGCACAGGGTTAAGTCCCAATAGACATACAATGATACAATCACACGGACCTTCTCTAGCAAGAATAAAGCAGTGAGAACTTAAGCATAAAACAAGCAACACAGGCCACACTAAGTGTTTACTGGCCCATCCTAAATTCTGCATGCTTGATGTTAAGTTGAACAGGTTAAAAAAGTATTCTGTCACAACATTTCCATCTCTCTGACAAACAGGTCAAATTAACATTTCCTTGTCTGCATATAGAAAATTTACATAATAGGTGGGGTTGCTAAATGAAAGAATTCAAACCTCAAAAGATCAGCAGTGTGGGAGGAGGCACTAAAAGAAAGATGCATGCTTCTTTATAAGCTTGATTTTGTATGTTCATGTGCATGCCCATTTGCACAAGAGCAATTGTCTCTCAGAGCTAGTTTCATATCATTTGACATATAAAATACGAATTATGCAACGAAGCTTGATCCTTGCATAGAGCAGGATCCGTAATCGAGCTTAAAAGGCCTAAGATAAAAATTCAGGAGCACACTTTTTTGAAGACTAATGCATTTCCTGACCATGTTTTCAGTGTCTACTAGCAACATTCCTATAGTGAATGGACCAGATACTTTTCTAAACCTCTTGGGTACTTGTTTTGTTGCATCAAAATACTGAATTATGGTTTCCCAGAGAAATCTGGTAGATGGTCTTGATAGCAGATCTGACTTTACAAGGTTAAGGTGGGCTGTGTTCTACAATCTGTTTCTTGCTATGTATGCACTTTTCAATAGAAGGCATTAAGAAGGAATAAATACTGAGGTAACAGGGATCCTCAGGTCATCCAATTAACTGAATAGAAAAACATAAATATCAGCTCTTTCAAAACCATAAACCACCACTTTCTCATAGAATCAAATAAATATATTATGTGGAACCATCTATACCATTGTTAAAGCGGATTCGTCAAAGCCAAATCTTAAAAGTTGATATATGCATTCTAATTTTAAGACAAGTAACTTTAAGAAACTGACATTTTTAATAAGGAAAATAGATTCTATAGACAAGAATTAGCGAATTTGTCCTGCATAACTGAGTGATCTTCTAGAGCAAAAATGTTCAAACTAATAAGTTACTTAACAGACAAACTTATGTTCAATGATAATTGGATGAACAAGTGCAACATCATCTTATTCTTGATTAACAGGTATTGCAGTAACAACTATATCTGTTATTGAATGCATTAATATGGTTTGACAAAAGAACCCAAAATGACAAACAGCCAGGGAGGAAAAGTCATAGTAAAACAATTAACTGACCTCATATTTTGAACAGTGCACCCATCTTGAAAGTGCTGACCATCTAACACAGAAAAAGAAAATTAGCTAGTACATTCTCGTTGTGTTTAAGATGAAATTCCTATATTTTCATTGAAAACAGTCCATTTGTAGTTTAATTAAGGTGAAGGATCGGATTAAATTATTTTTACCCTCCACTGTGATTTTTGTAAACATGATTAGGAGTAGGATAAAAACACGGTATAGACAACTCTGGAAGGAGATAACCAAATTTTATTTCTGACCACCTTAATACTCCATTCTATATCAAAGATTATTTCATCCCTCCCACCTTATCAAATCTAAATTCTAACATACAGATCATATTTTAATGGGTTTGTTAATGACTTTCAATTAGCAATTTATGGTGCTCGCACTGGCCTAATATAATCCAACTCCCCTTCTCAGTTGTCTAATCTAGCACCATAGCAGATATTCTCCCATATTCTATCCTCCACTACAAATGTGTATCAAACACATAATTCAATAAAACTCATCGACATAGTCCCTAATTCAGTCAATCCAATGCACTCTAAGGTAAAATAATGTGGTCTTCTAGAAAATAAAAGTGCTCATTCTTGCAAAACCCATATTATCAACATGAATGAAGGGGGCAACACTACTTAGAGTTAACAGTGTATTTACTTTGTTAAAATCAATATATATAATGGTGACCAACCTGCGGGGATCATAGATGGTCACGGTACGATCAGCACCACCCACTGCGATGTTACCAGTTGAAGAACTACAAACAGCATAAAAGACATCTCCAACAGAACCACAAATACGATGTAGACAACCACCATTTTCTTTCATCCTCAAGTCCCATACAGACAGCTATATGAATACCAGAAAATGAAGCAGAGCCCTCAGATTATTTAACACATTATAAAACATAAAATATAATAAAAGCATAATTATACCTGGCACCCTTCAGTTATGGCTAATATGGAAGTCTCACTCCCATGACCTAAATTCTGTACGAAGCTCAATGAAGATGGATACCAAAGTCTGAAATGTAAGTAAATTAGTTAATATAAAATGTCCATATAGAAATTTCTGAATATTAATAACATAAAACGCAATTTTTTTTTGTTTTTGTTATTTGCATTGTTCCTCCTTTTTCCTTTTTGAAGAACTTGAATCTTCTAAATTCTAAGAACTGCAAAGTTACCCGAGTGTCACCATGTAGACAGAAGAACTGTCTACATGTGTTGGCATTCCAAAATAGATATGAGGCTTTTAGCAACAATGATTTCCAAGCAGCTGTGAGAGAGAGAGGTGGAAGAAACAAACTGGCAAATTGCGGGATTTTTACCATTGTAATTAATTTAGCAGTATATTTGGGCAATTCAGGTTTTTTTCTTTTTAAAAAAAAGCCAGATGTAAGGGACCAAATACTGATCTACAATTGATAATGGTAGAAATCACAAGTAAAAGAAGTAACTGCTTCAGTATGACTGAACAATAAATCAAATAAATAAATGTTTCAAACGATATCAACAACTATATAGTGAGCACAAAAAATTTTACAGAGATAGTTGTTTTAAAAGGTTGTGTCTGAAAGGCTTTACATGTCAAGTACAACTAAAAAAATTTACATGAAAAAGAAATGATGAATGACCATAAAGAAACTCCCCTGGTCAGATAGCAGCAAATTCCTTGCCATATCTTGACATCAATAATAGTATAGGTATCTCCAGACAAGGCTTGTGCACATGTTGTTATGGTTTCTAGTCATCTACTACTGAATAGGAAATTCACAAAACTAAAAAAACTTCTTTATTTGAAATGCTGACTGCACTAAAATTAATAACCTGTCAAGCCCGTAATTTTCTCAATTATAATACCCTGTTGCAACCATTCACCTCTATCTAGAACGGAGAAGATATTATTTGGATAGTAGCTCAGGGAGAACTATGATGAAGAATTTTTAAGTCTCCTCCTTCCTACATCATTATAAAGATAGGGATGACCTTGACGTTATACACATGCCGATATACATGTAATAGATAGATCGGAAAGATATAGTACTCACGTACGTAAAGTCCGAAAATGAATATCCTGGTCATAAACATCAATACTTTTGCAGAAGCTTTGTGCCACAGCTGCCTGGATTAAGAAATAAGTTAGTGCAAAGTGAAGCCCTAATTAAAGGTAAAAATAGTTTAGTGCAATAAGTACTGATCCAGCAGATGTTCTAGCTGTGACAGCATAATTCAAAGCCAATTTCCTTCTTGCATCTCCCTGCTGCTCCCAAGTTCATAGCTGCGACTAAATTTCAAAGGCCTAGTGGCTTTTACTAGGTATAGACATATAGACAAACAGTGTGCTACATGAAATGTCCTTTTAGATACCATGCCCTTAAGAAATTTTAACATTCTGTAGAATTTTATCAGTTTCATGGTTTTTTTTTTTAGTGAATACCACGTACCATAGACCATTGAGTTGGACTGAAGCAAAGCCCAGACCAACTACCTTCTCCAACACCAAAATCCCGAGCTAACACTGAGTAGGTAATCTTGTCAACATCTGAAAATTTCAGCAGTAGGCCTGGATAAGACTCCTTAACGACTTAAAACAAAAATTTCGTGAACAAAATGATATAAAATTCACCAGCAAAAAAAGTACTGATTTACAGATAGTCAGCTGTTGCAGATACAGGGACAACTATTAGTTCTTCTTCCTCCCCTCTCCCCATTATTCTAAGAGGGATGAGCCAATAATTTTGGACATTTTATATCAGACGGATTTAATTTCTAAAAGTTCTCAACTTTCCCCCTTTTCCCCTCAAAGTCTTTCTCCACCCAAAACCAGATGTCATATGAATCCAACGAATCAATAAACAACAAAGGGCTACGGATAAGTAATATATGAGGATGCATTCAGATAATGGAATTAACTAAAATTAGCCAGTCTCGAGAAACCGATGGCTGAATATCATTGACAGCATGACATCACAGCAGAAAGCAAATAATGGTTCTATTCCGACTGGCATCATTTTGATGATCAACCAGAACTAGTAGTAGTTAGGCAACTAAAAGCGTTTCCTTAAATGCTAGTTTAGCACTTGCATCTGAAAGATGAAAAGAAATGGGTAAGGCTAAACAACTATCATGTTAAGGAACTAACGGGAACTACTCAAGAAAGCCCTAAGAGAAAGTATAAATCTCATTTGTTACTTTTGAGTTACACATGCCTGCCAGACAGAAAATTCTACTTGCAAAGATCCAAACGATTAAAACGAGTAACATACAGCTGGTTAATTGCTTCTCTGAAAGGGAAGGGCTGCAAACTACTAGTGTTTGAAATATGAAGAAGAATATGCTAGAAACTTCACCATCAAACCTACATATAAACTAGAGAAATATGAAAAATAAATTAGGGGATGTACCTTTACCACTAGCATCCAGTTTAGAGACAATAAGATGACCATAAGCATCTACGCTTCCCAATACTAAGTAACCAGTGCCTGCAGACATTGCATCACAGTTTGAACATGCATAAAACACTCATATATACTGTAGTTCAATAGCACCAACATCAAGGTTCCATAAAGAAACTTTGATGCAGCATAATCAGAATAAAATATCAATCAGATCCAAAAGACATAAAAGGATTTAGCCCCTTATAATTTTTCAGAGCCACTAAACCATTTCTGAGGGAAACAAAAACAAAAAAAAAAAGGTAATGATGATTTACCATGTGAAGTAAGAAAGAACTACAAGAAAACTTTCAACAGCGAAAGCAACACAGGAGCCAACACTACTTGGCATTTCAAGGTTAGTATTATTAACAAATTCAACCTCACCAATGCAAAAAAAGCTAAAAGTACAGATGGAAGTAAAACTTATGCAGGTTTGATTAGGGCTGTGCAAACAGAAAACCAAATCAATTTGAGGTTAAGATAACCAAACTATTTGATTTGGTTTCGCATGTTGTGCATATCCGACATTATCCAAACCAAACCACACCTTATCATTCTATCAAATAATAAAATACAGCTCATGCATAAGTAAGATTTGACATTGGCATTTGACTAGATTTGACTGCACGTCACATGAATACAGTGTGACTAGGGTGCTTTCTTTGTTTTTCAACTATTTTTTAATCTTATAATTTCTCTATCTTATTTCTTTCTCATTCCAGTTTTTTAGTTCAGAATCTCTTATCACTGCTGGCTTCTCTCTCTTTTTTCTCTTAAGCAACCTTTTTAAATTAAAATTTCTTATTGTTCATATTGCTCAAGCTTCTTTCTTCATGAAGCACTGCCTGGAGATATCACAATTCTAGCTCTATATTTAAAATCTTCTTTCACCTTCTCTTTTTCTGCAAGGTTGGGGATCAGATCTAATACTTGAGAGATCACATTTGAAATCTTCTGATAAGATGGCTTGCTTTTAGGGTTAGCTTTGTGATTTTTATTTGATTCAGGGGCAAAAATTTCTGAAAGGGTTTAAAAAGGAATTGAATATCTGCAAATGCACTAAATGCGGGTGATGTGATGAAGACAAAAAACCTGAGAACCCAAACCAAAAAAATTCAAGTAATTTGGTCTCAGTTACTTTTAGTTTTTGTTACCTTTCAACGTGGTTTCAGTTTGAGATTTTTAAAAATGGAAAACCTCAGTTCAGTTAGCAAGCTAGCTAATATCTGAACCACCCTGACCCATACGCAGCAATAGGTTTACAAATAACTTCACACGAATGTATGCAAGTTAAAAAACTGATACCAGACCCTGAGTCCAAGTGTTTTAATGGATAATCAATGGTTTTTTTCATTGTTATAGTTTGCAAGGGCCAGCTAAATGTGTTGTATCAACAGATGACTAAGTTGAACCAGATTTAACAATAGATAGTTTCACCCTCCAAATGTTACAAATAAAGGCCCCTACACTAACGAGAGATATGAGATGTATGCTGACAGTTTCATCAACCAAATACAACATCTACCCTCCCTCTCCATGTGTAGAACGAAACTTGCTGTACTAGTTATACCGTGTACGTCATTAAGATATGAGCAAAAAGAGAATGACAATTCGACATTCCTCTTTCGGCCAAACTACAATCATTCATATGCCCTTTAATGTACAACGTAAGCTATAGAAATGCTTTCTATCTAAGATATCATCAAATTAAAAAATATACTAAATGTCAATTGAAAAGACACTTACTTTCAATTTCAGCAAGCACAATACTCTGAATTTCTGAACGATGAGGGCACCTCTTAAGCAAAGA